CTGGTAGCGCGGCGGCGACAGCCGCAGGGTGGATGCGCTGCCCTCCTCGCCGCGCCCCGTGGCCACCACGGCCACCAGCGAGGCCACAATGAAGGAGATGAGCACGGCGTAGCCCCAGTGCCTGGTGAGAGAATCCGTCCTCCTTCTCTGTACCTCTTCGCCAAAAGTACCTGCCACTCCACCCCTCTTGAGCTCCTGTTTTATCTCTTCCTGCTGCTGCTGCTGCTGGGGCTCCTGGATGTCAATCCTGCTGTTCCTCACCCTCTTCCTACTCTCCTCTCCCTCCTTCCCCTCGTCTCCATGCTGTTCCTGCTCCCGGTCCTTCTCTTCCTCTTCATTACTTCTCCATCCTTAACCACCCCTCTTCATTGTAATTTCATTGTAAGGATTACCAAATCCCAGGGGGCGGGTGTGAATAAATATGTAGCACCCCGCAATTGCGGTCAAGGGTAAGTCGCGGGTGGGTCGCAGGTGGGTCGAGGGATGGGTCGCGGGGTGGTCGTGGGTGGGTCGCGTGTGGGTCGCGGGTGAGTCAAGGGGTGGGTCGCGGGGTGGTCGTGGGTGGGTCGCGGGTGGGTCGCGGGATGGGTCGCGGGTTGGTCGCGGGGGGGAAGACGACAACACACACAAGCAACAACAATCATTTTAAGACTGTTCGCTCGTATATTCTCGCATGTCTATCAGCATGTAGATCCCGAGCCCTCGATACCCGCCCTCCTCGTCTTTGCTCGTGCCTCGCCCTTGGGGGCGCATCACCCTCACCTGCCAGGTGTGGCTGGCGCAGCCGCTGAAGCAGGGGAGGGGAGGGAGGAGGGGCGGGACAGGGGGGAGGGAGCAGGATGCAGCACGAGAGAGATTGGCAGCAGGCGGGTCGCTGAAGCGTCAGCCCTGCACACGTCACGAGGAAACCTTGAGCGACGGTGCGGTTCCCAGGCAGATCGTGAGGAAATAAATCGAGAGCATGATTCCTGCGTGTCGAGGGCGCGACGGCTCAGTACACTGCGGGGAGGTTCCGGGCGAGAGCGCGATTCCTGCATGCGTCGTGAGGGGGTCCCGCGCAAGAGGGCGATCTTGAATACATGTTGAGGCAGTATCAGGCGGGAGCCGCGGTGGCTATAGCTCGAAGGCCAACACAGCAGTCTGAGCCCTAAAACACTCCCTTGTAGAAAAACAGGGCGGGAGCCCCGAGAGGGACACTCCAAACTGAAAGCACGGGGTGCACTGGAGGTGGGGACCAACAGCTGCCATTGTTCTTTAGACATGGGCACTCGACAACCAACAAACACAATCTGGGCAACGGAATCCCACTTCCCCGACGCACCCAGGGATGGTGCAAGATCGCTCGGCGGAGGAGGCGGAGCAGGAGAGGGGGGAGGAGGAGAAGGGGGAGGAGGGGGATGAGGAGGAGGAGGAGGAGGAGGAGGAGGAGGAGGAGGAGGAGGAGGAGGCGGAGGAGGAGGAGGAGGAGGAGGATACGGCACGATATCCACTCTGACAAAGTGCTCGATCTCGGGCGATCTGCCGCGGGGCGCCGGTCTGACAGCAGCCATTAGGTCGGGCGTGTCCCCCTACCAGGCGGACTGTGGGCGAAAGCGTACACAAGCAAACACTTAAGACATGCCCACAAATAGTCAGCAAGTCGTCCTCGGACTATTTTTGTTGACTACTTTTGAATATCCCTCCCGTAGAGGGACACGCCCGACTTCAAGCTGCCAGCGGGCGCACCGCGGCCGCGGCCGTGATCGGAGCGGCGGCGGCCTCCTCCTCGCGGCACCCCCCGCGGCGCGCCAGCGAGAAGCAGGCGGCGGGGCTCTCTCGGGACTGGCAGGGGCCCAGGGACACACAAGTGAACAGGCGCAAATCGAATCCACGGGTTCCCTAGCTCTCCATCTATTTTCTCGGTTTTCGCCCCCCCCCCCCCCCCATCCCCCCCCCAATCCCCCCCCCCTTGCCATATTTTGACTATCTTAGAGTATTCCTCCTGCAGAGGGACACGCCCGACGTAAAGCTGCGAGCGGCGGCGGCCTCGCCGCACCCCCCGAGGCGCGTCGGCGACAAGCAGGCGGCGGGGCCCTCTCGCAAGAACTGACAGGGGCCCTGGGACACACAAATTAACAGACACAAGTCAAACCCCAGGATCCCCTGATTTTTCCCCGATTAGTGCCTGCACTGAAGGAGTCCAAGCGGAAGTTGGAAGATTTGGCGAACGTCTCCCCCCGATTTTGGTAGCAGGCTGGGTTCCCGGGTTCCCGGTTCTGGGTTCCCGGGTTCCTGGTTATTGGTTCCGGGCCAATTTCGGTGGGTTCTGGGTTCTCGGGCTCCCGGCTTCCCGGTCGATCTCCTCAGCGAAAACCATCCACTGATTGGGGTTTCTCTCGGGTGTAATTTTATATATTTTCTCGGTTTCCCCCCCCCCTCCCCCCCCTCCCCCCCCTTCCCATATTTTCATTTTTTTTCCCGGGAATCGTCGATTCACTGTGCCTGTGTGTTTTTTCCCCTCCTGACTAACAGCGCCGCGCGCGCTCGTCTTGATCGGTTCCTTGTCGAAGCTTCGCAGGCGGCTTCGTTCCTTTTCCCTCGTGGGCCAGATGCGGTGATGATGGAACTAGCCAGCTTCCCCACGGAGGAAACGGGAACGCCACCACAGGAAGCACGAGGAGAAGGAAGGATGGAAAGCGAGAGGAGAAACGAAAAAGGACAAGGAAGGCATACCCCGGACACGGACAGCCGCTGCCGCCGCGCTCTTATCTCCTCGCCGTCGGCCATTGAAGGCCGATGGTCGAGGTTCGAGGGCCGAGATGAGTTGGGCGCTCTCGAGCCTTTTCCAGGCCTGAAGGGGCGCCCTCGTGGCCCCGGCTGCGTCCGCCTACGGCAGGCTCGCGCCCGGATGTCGCGGGCACCGGCTTCTGACACTCCGTGGATCGTTCGGCCTTGAAGGATCACGGCCTTCCGATGGGCCAGAGCCTTGGCTATCGGCGCGGCGTCCAACCCTGCACGCCCGCACCGGGGCCGCCGCCGCGGCACCGCGGCGCGAGCCTGCCTTAGACGTCCTGGCCAGAACGCAGCCGCAGCCCAGGACAGGTCCCGGGGGTCATCGCCGTCGGGGATTGCGCGGGAGACCTTCCAAAAACCATCCAAAAACCTTCCAAGAACCTTCCCCAAAAACATACAAAAACCCTCCAAAAACCCTCCTGGGGAAGGTTTGTTTGGAAGGTTTCAGCAAGGCTGTGCAGCAGTGGCCCAGTGGGCGTCCAGCGCTTCCTCCTCGGAGCGGGGGCTCTCTCGCTGGGCCCCCCTATGCGAGTGTTGGCTCGCGGGAGCGCGCGACCGTGCACCAGCTGCGCGGGTGCAGAGCGGCTCCTTTGGAAAGCGGGGCCCTCGCTTGAACGGCAAGCCCCCGGGGCTCCAGCCATTCAAAGGGGTAGCTTCCGAGGCGAAGGGGGGCGCCTGTACGGACTCCTCGTGAGGGGTCTTGCGACGGGAGGGTCTGTTGCAGCACCGCTGATGCTTCTTGCGTTTACTCCGGTCCTCATCCTCCTCCTCCTCCTCCTCGTCGCTATCCTCTCCTCTCCTCTCTTCTCCTCTCCTCTCCTCTCCTCTCCTCTCCTCTCCTCTCCTCTCCTCTCCTCTCTTCTCCCACTTCCTCCAACTCTTCCTCATCCTCCTCTTCCTGCGCTTCTGCCTCGGCCATCCCATCTCACCCCACCTGCATTCCCCCCAAGATTGGGATGACCCAGACCTCCGATCGGCGTTTTACCTCTGCAATGCCGGTGAATGTTGTCATAGATTTCGGCATCCTGAACCGTCAGTCACTACTCCACTACAGTGATCTGATCCCTGGGAAGGGGTCAGGACCCTGAGTGCCTGTAAGTGGGGTGCTCTTCCACCTCCTCCTCCTCCTGATCATCACCACCATCCTCCTCCTCCTCCTCCTCCTCCTCCTCATCATCATCATCATCATCATCATCACCATCTTCATCTCCATCACCATCGTCATCATCATCAGCATCGGCATCCTCATCATCATCACCATTACCACCATCCTCATCATCATGCTGCCCCTCTTTATCTCCCTACTGGAGACTGGTGCGGCAATTCGCGGAACCCTTCCTGAATTCTTCCTGCGGAAAGCTTTTGGAAGGTTTTTCCTGGGCTCGGGGGGGGGCGAGGAAGGTTGTTGTGCGGTTTTCCCAAAAACAAACTTCCAACAACCTTCCAACGACCTTCCAACATCTACCGCGATCGCCCAACATATTCCAACAACCTCCCAACAACCTTCCAACCAACCTTCCAACAACCTCCCAAGAACCTTCTAAGAACCTTTCCGAAACCTTCCCAACACCTTCCAAAACAACCTGTCACATAAAAACCCACTGGGGGAAAATTGCTGGAATGTTTCAGGGCAACTATTCAACAAACCCCTCCTGAGGAAGGTTTTGGAAGTTGTAAGGACGGATCTTCAAACAAAACATCTGGAGAAAGGTTTTTGAAAAAAGGTTTCAGGAAGGTTCTTCCAAACATCCCTTCTGAGGAAGGTTTCTGAAAAGGTTTTTCAAAACAAAGATTCTTTCAACAAAAACCATCCAGCGGAAGGCCTTTGGAAGGTTCGAGGAAGGTTCTTCCGAACAACCCTCCTGAGGAAATATATATTGTAAGGTTTTACGAAGGCTCTTCCAACACAAACCCTCCAGAGGAAGGTTTTCGGAAGGGTTTAGGAATGATTTTCCAGAAAACCCTCCTGAGGAATGTCTTTGGCAGGTTTTAGGAATATTCTTCAAACCGCAACCCTCCTGGGGATGGTATTCGGAAGGTTCTTCCAAACAAGGAGCACGTCCTGAGGACGGTTTTCGGCAGGTTTAAAACAATATTTGTTTCGAACAGCCGCTCCTGCGGAAGGTTTAGGAAGAGTGGCAGGAAGGTTCTTCCAACGCAAAACCTCCAGAGGAAACTTTTTGGAAGGTTTAAGTAAGGTGCTTCTAACAAAACCCTCCTGCGGAAGGTTCCTGGAAAATTTTAGGGCGGTTCTTCAAACAAAAACCGCCGGGGGAATGTTTCTGGAAGCTTTTAGGAAGGTTTTTCAACAAAACCATCCTGAATAATATTGTTGGGACGGTTCAGGAAAGTTCTGCAAAACAGAACTTCATGAGGAGGGTGGGAGGAAGGGTTTTGTTGTTTGGCGAACCTGATTAAATCCTTACAAACATTTTCCTCATGAGGGTTTTGTTGAAAGAACCTTCCCAAACCTTCCTCAGGAAGGTTTGTTTAAAAGAATCTTACTGAAACCTTCAACAACGTTCCTCGGATAGGTTCTTTGGAATAACCTTCCAAACACCTCCCTCAGGAGAGTTTTGGTTGGAAGAACCTTCCTGCAACCTCCCAAAAACCATCCCCTCTGGATATTTGTTATTTATTTTTCTTGGGGAGGGGAGAACGTGCCTGAGACATTCCACAAATATTCCTCAGGAGGGTTTTTGTTTGGAGAACCTTTGTGAAACCTTCCAGAAACCACCCTCAATATTGATTTTGTTGGAGGGGCCTCCCTGGGACCTTCCACAAACCATACTCCATTTTTTGTTTCAAGAACCGTCCTAAAACCTTCCAGAAACCCTACTCCAGAAGTTTTGGTTGGCAGAACCTTCCTGGGGCCTTCCCATTTCTCAGGATGTTTTTTGTTTGGAAGAACCTCCCTTGAGCTTTTCAACCACCTTCCTTCGGAAGTTATATATATATATATATATATATTGAAGAGCCTCCCTCAAACCTTCGAGCAACCTTCCGCGGGGTGATTCTTTGGAATAGCATTTTTTTTTTTTTTTTTTTTTTTTTTTTTTTTTTTTTTTTTTTTTTTTTTTTTTTTTTATATATATATATATATATCTTTTTCAAACCGTCCAACAACCTTCCTAAATGAGTTTTTCATTCAAAGAACCTTCCTGCAACCTTCATCGTGCAGGTTGTCTTGGAACCTTCCTGACAACTTTCCTCTGGGCGGCTTTTTCCATGAAAAGCTTTCCTGGGACCTTCCAACAACCTTCCTCAAGAGGTCTTGTTGGAGGAACCTCCCTCAAACATTTCAGCAACCTCCCTCATTTTTTGCTGACAGAGCCTAAGCCTTCCAAACGCCTTCTTCAGGAAGGTCTCGTTTGGAAGCACCTTCCTAAAACCTTCCAGCCACCGTCCTCAGGAATGTGTTTTAGATGAACCTTCCTAGAACCTTCCAACCACCTTCTTCCAAAGGGCTTTTTGTTGGAAGAGCCTTCCTAGAATCTTCCGAACACACCCCTCCGACTGTTTTTTGTTGTTCGGGAGAGCCTTCCGCAAACCTCCGAACAACCTCCCCCAGGAAGGCGTTGTGGGAAGATCCTTCCTACAACATTTTTTCAAACATATACCCCATGGTTTGTCTCTATATACATAGATGAATCTACATATATGTGTATGCACATATTGTATATGTGTCTACGTCCAGGAAGCGCCAGCGCTCCCGTACACTGAAGGTGTCGAGCAGCTCGTCGTCCGACAAGCAGGCCTCGTGCAGCGCGTAGCCGTAGGTGCTGGCGTCGCTGCAGTAGGTGACCGGGGCCCACGGTGCCCCGAGGTCCACTTCCACCAGCAAGATCAGGCCCTTGGCGACACGGATCTCGTCCAAGAGGTCGGGCCGGAATTTGGCGAACCTCTCGCGGTGCTCCGCGATGAAGTGGTAGCCCAGGTCGAGCACCGCCAAGGCGGGCCGCATCAGCATGGAGAAATTCACGAGGTGCACGTAGATGATGCGGAGCGCGTTAACCAGTAGCACCACCTACGCCTATGAGGTGTTGGAGGCCCAAGTAGAGCTTCCAGGCCCTCTTGTCGGTATGCCTGAGCTTCCGCGCCTGCCCATCGAAGACCACCCCGACGGACTCGTAGAGGCGGGTCGTCTCGACCTTCTCGTGGTAGGCGAGGTTCAGGCGATCCAGCTCCGCGCAGACCTCGTCGAGGGCCGCGCCGATGTCCTCCGCGCAGACGCCGAAGAGGGTGGCGTTGTCCACGTAGGGCGACGCCAGGGGCCGCCCCAGGGCGAAGGTCGGCGCGGCCCTCTTGTCCGAGATCACACGCGGGTATGGGGATCCAGCAAGGCGAGTGACAGCCTCTGTCTCCGCGGACTCGGTCACAAGCCGGCAAAACCAGAGAGACCAACTCCAGCCCATCGGCAGACCCCTGAAGACGGGGAAGGGAAGATCCTCGTGTCACTCGAGACCTGACCGAAAGTGCGCGTGTCCGTGAAATAAACGTCGGGATCGCCAAAGTAGCCTGCGGCCTCGGGGAAGTCGAAGCCGAACCAGTCCGCGAGGTCGTCGTCGACGAACTGGTAGAACCCGTCGCGCAGGTCCACGCCAGCGCCACGCGGGTCGACCTCGGTGTCAGCGAGGCCCGCCCTCCGCAGCGCCGAAGGTGAGAGGGCAGGGCCAGCCTGCGCTCCCGCAGAGCCGAGAGCAGAGTGAGGAGGCCGTCGGTGTAGGCTCGAAGCTTCACGACCGTCGATGACTAGGCGCAGCATGCCGTCCTTCTTGGCGACGAAGAAAGCTCCGATCTGGGCGCGGATGCCCAGCCGGAACCCCACCAGACCCACGGCGCGCAGGCGCATGACGATGTCCCTGCGAGCCGCCCTGTCATGGCGGAGGCGAGGGCCCCAGTAAGGCCGCGCTGGAGTGATGAGCCCCTGCTCTGTCAGCGCGTCAATCTCCGAGGCGGCGCAGTAGATCACGCTGTCAGCGTTGTCGAGGGCGTGGGCGCCAGCCGGCGGCAGCCAATCGCGGAGCGGCCGCGGCGTGACCAGGCCCCTGAGGACCCGAAGCTTCGACGGGTCGTAAGGTCGCAGGTGCTGGGGCTGGTCTGAGCGCATGTCCGTGGACTTCAGGAGGCCGTAGAAGGCGTCGCTCGGCGTCGCAGCTGGCCGAGAGGGGAAACGCAACACCTTGGCCCAAGTCCTGCGAAGGATGGAACGCTGCGCCAAAGTCGGGCGCCGCCCCGTCGGAGCATGGTGGGCCCTCAAGGCCCGAGACGGGGCATCGAGTGCGTTGAAGGAGCGCAGCGCCCCCCTGCACCGTCTCTCGCACGAAAGCTGCCTGGCGCCGCAGCCGTGCGCGAACTCCCGTCGGCGAAGCACCGGAATGGGAAGGATCACCGTGGGCACGGCCACGAAGAGCACGGTAGTCACCTCGATCGGCTTGGCGCCCCCGTCGAGCTCGGTGAAGGCGGCGGCGAGGCAAACGTCGGCGGGGATGGAGCCGAACTAGCCTCCTCCCTCTGGACCTCGCCGCCGCGGCCCCTGCGGGGGCTCGCCGCCGTCGTGGGCGGCCTCGGCACCGCGGCCGCGGCCTCCGCCGCGCCCGCGGCCCCGGCCGCGGCCTGCCTCCTCGCCTGAGCCCCTGCCGCCGCATCCACCGCCGCCGTGCGCCAAGTGGCCAGCCTCCTCGTGCCAGAGGCGCATCTGCTTGAGGCGCTGTGCCTCGTCCCGCTGGAGGCTCGACGCGAAGCTGCCGAGCTCGGGGGGCAGGGCGCGTCCATCTTCGCCGAGGAGGCGCGGGCCGCGCCCTGGCCCAGTGGCCTTCAAGCGCTTCCGCTCGGCGAGCTCGGCCTCCTCGACCAGGGCGGCGGCGACCCGCTCCCCGTCGATGCGCACCAGCGCCGTGTTCTCGCGGATGATCATCTGGTCGCTGTCGCCGATGACGCCCTCGGGGATCTCGTTGCCGAAGGCGTCGTGCGCGGGATCCGCGACGCGCCAGCGGCCCCCCTGCGGTAGTGCGCCAGCGGCGCCAACCAACCAGAAGACCTCGAGGAGGTCGCGTCCCGCGCGACGCATGCGGGCCAGCGCCTCCGGCCCGATCGGCACGTCGAGGAAATTTCGGCCAAGAACCGTCGGGGCAAGTCCTCGTCGCGGCCGAGGGGAGTGACACGATGCTGTGATAAGCCGGCTGGCTGAACGTCGAAGTCGGGTGTTCCAACGATCCATTTTCCCGGAGTGGGAGTGGCAAAGAGCAAGACCCGTCCGTGATACCGAAGGCCATGGGCCCTCGGCGAGGACGGAGTCGCTGCTGAACGTGGGAGAACAAGAGGCGCTGGGTGATCAGCGGGGGCGTCGACCAAAGGAACCTGGCGTATCACCTCGCGATGACCTGAAGCCGCGGCGCGGCGGGTAAGGGATACTGCACACGAGCCCAGCAAGGTGAGAAGCGAGCCCACCACACAGCCCAAGATGAATAGAAGCGCCAACGAGAACTTTGAGCAGGCCTCCTCATGCGAGCCGTCGCAGGTACCTCGAAGCTGAGCCCTTGCACTCGCGCGCTCCTGGTAGGCGTCCTGGATCACGTCCAGCGACCGCGTCAGCACAGGCAGGACCGCGTCGCGGGAGAGCGGCTCGCCGCAGGATCCACAGCACACACGCACGCAGGGCAATCGGGCGGGCCGCGGGCCAGCACGAACAACTGCAGGGAGGAGGCGAGTATTTGGTAAGCAGCTCCTGCGAGACCCGGATCGACCATCCGGGATTTCTTGAGCCGCTCAAAGGCAGCAGGGACAGGCACGCTGCTGCAGGCGGTGAGCTACACTGCGGGGGGGCAATCCAGGTCAGAGACAAATCGTATGTATGTATGTATGTATGTATATATATATATATATATATATGTATACACATCCGTATACACGTTAAACGACGTTCCTAACACATGCCGCAAAAAAAAACCCACAGGAAGTATTTGTTTGAAGCACCTCCCTAAACCATTCCAGTCACCTTCTACAGGAGGGCTTTTGTTTGGAAGAACCTTCCTACCATAAGACCTTCCAACAACGGTCCTGGGGAGTTTTTTTTGGGGGGGATGGGCCTTCATAGAACCTTCCAAGCACCGTCCTAAGAAGGGCTTTTGTTTTGGAAGAACCTTCCAAACGTTTCCTATCACCTTGCTCCAGAGGGCTTTTCTGGAATCGCTTTCCTGCAACCTTCCAAACACCTTCCCCAGGAGGGATTTTAGTGGAACGACTTTCCTGCAACCTTCCAACCCACCATCGTCGTGATGTTTTTTGCTGGGGGGGGGAAAGAGAGCTCCCTGAAACCTTCCACGCACCTTCCTCAGGAGGGTTCTTGTTGGAAGAACCTTCCTGGACACTCCCAAACACCTTTCGCAGGGCATTTTTTTGTTAGGCAGAGCCTTCCTAACACCTTGCGAACACATTCCCACACACATTCCCCATCCAGTTTTTTTGGGATGGAAGACCCTTCCTACAACCTTCCGCAAACCGTCTTCGGTACTTTGTTTGGAAGAGCCTTCATACAATCTTCGAAACACCTTGATTTTTTTTTTTTTTTAAAAAAGGAAAAACGAACAGACCTTCCTACACTAAGACCTACCAACAACCGTCCTCAGGAGGGTTTTGTTGCAAGAACCTTTTTTTTTATTAAAAACAAAAAAAACCTTTCGAGCACATTCCACAAGCCTCCCTCCAGAGGGTTGTTTTGAGGAGCATTCCGAACACCTTCCAAACACCTTCCGCAGAGGGGGCTTTTGTTGGAAGGACTTCCTACAACCGTCCCGAAACCTCCGTCCTGATTTTGTTTTGAAGAACGTCCTACAACTTTGCACACCTTCCCCAGGAGGGTTTCTCAGACGAGTTTTTTTTTTTTTTTTTTTTTTTTTTTTTTTTTTTTTTTTTTTTTTTTTTTTTTTTTTTTTTTTTTTTTTTTTTTTTTTTTTTTTTTTTTTTTTTTTTTTTTTTTTTTTTTTTTTTTTTTTTTTTTTTAAAATTATTTTATTTACAACAAATCTACATTCCTTCCTCCGGGGGGATGGTGTTGGAAAAACCGTCCTAAAACCTTCCACAACCTTCCTCGGGCATGTTTATTGTTTGAAGAACCTTCCTACAGCCTCCCCAACGCCTTCCCCAGGAGGGCTGCTGTTTGGAATAACCTTCCAACACCTTACAAAAAACCTTCCTCGGGAGTTTTTGTTTGACGAACCTTCAGGGGGATTTGTTTTGGACGGCCTTGTTTGGAAGAGCCTTCCTCTGTAGGCTTCTGTTTCGACGAGCCTTCCTGAAACCTTCGAGGAATATTCCTCAGGAGGGCTTGTTGGAAGAACCTTCCTAAAACCTTATATCGACTGTCCCCCAGAGGGCTGTTTGGAAGAACCTTCCTGAACCTTGCACGAACCTTCCTCATGATTTTCTGGCGACCCTTCAAGATGATTTGTTTGGGGTGAACCTTCCTGAAGCCTTCCAACAACCTTCCTCTGGAGGGTTTTGTTTGATGGGCCTCCCTAGAACCTTCCAACAACCGTCCGCAGGAGGGTTTCAGGAGGGGTTGGCCGAACTGCCGCGCCCAACTGCCCTACTGCTGCTCCTCCTTCTCCTTTTGCTTCTCGTCCTCCTCCTCCTCCTCTTCTACCTGCTCCTCCAAGCGCTTCTCCTTCTGCCCCTTCTCCTCTCCATTGTCCTCCCCTCTCCCTTCTCCTCCTCCTCATCCTGCTCCTCCTGCCCCCATCATCCTCTGGAGGACACGCCCGAATAATGAACCAAAGGTGTAAAGGCGGGCCGCTGGACTCTAGGCCGCTGGAAGAGGACTCCTAGTCGTGGACGACGAATCGGTCTGTCTTTCAGCCTCGCCAACTTGGCAGCTCAGACTGTCTGCTGCGGGGAGGGTGTGTGTAGTCAAGTGTGGCTTCGGTGGTTGATGCTGTGAGCTCCTCCGCCAGCACTCCCCAGTGCGCGCTTGCGCGCGTGCGGGGGGCGGATGGCGGACGTGGAGCAGATGAGAAGGGCGGGCCCCCAGTGCCTGGGAGGGAGGGAGACATGTGTAACGACTACCGAATCAAATTGCATTCCAAGCTCCAGTGCTTCCCCTTGACTTCGGCCTCCAGGTCCCAATACTTGCCGAATTGGCTGGATCCAAGATCGTTTTAAAGGCATCGAATAACGCAAGAAGAAATGATGCGTAAGGCTTCGACGGGGGGGGGGGCGCTGATCCAGATCCCCCTTTCTTTCCTCGATGGCCTCCAAGATAGCCCCACATATGGCCACGAAGGTCCAAAAATAGGACCCCACGAGCCGCAACGGCCTCCAAACCTGCTCCGCGACTGGCCAACTACCATGCCAAGAGGCTCCCATGCCCAAAGATCTACGAGGGCGTTTGCAGTCAACCCGTATCATAAGGATGCGCCGTAAGGGTGCAAGGGCCTTGGGCGCCGATATCGAAGCTTTTCGAGCGGGGCGCGGCCAATGAAAGTGGCCAAGGGATGGACCGAGGAGGCAGGGAGGCAAGGGGCACCCTTGGGGAAGGGCGCTCATCCTTATTGTGCGGGCAGGCTGCATGGTTGCCCCCTGGGTCTGATCGAGTTGATCCCGAGCTTCGGCTTGGCAGCTGCCCCCCCCCCTCTTTACTTCTTTGCCTGCTCCCACACCTTCCCTGGTCAGAGCAACTCGCCTGGGCAACGTTTCCAGGTGGGCCGGTGGGGAGACGCGAAGTGTCTAGAGAACCCCCTCGGTTATCGCGGACGATCCAACGAAGTCACGTCAGAGGATCCAGGATGCTCCTTGCTTGTCCCCCGCCATGATAGAATGCACACGTCCGAGCGATGCCTAAGTGGTGTGCGCGCGTGGGCGTGGCGTGCACTCGCCGGGCTGGCACCGCTCTTTTGTAGAGGGGCACAGGGACACGCAAACAAATAGTTAGACACAAATCCCAGAATCTCCCAGATGTTCCAACATCTTCTGTGCTTTCGTCTTTGCCCCCGCTTCCCACATGTCCCATCTTTCCTGGGAGTCGACGATTGATTGTGTCTGTGTGTTTTCCCTCCTGATTCTACCTTGAACGCCAGCGCCCTGCGTCGCCGCCGCCACCGCCACCGCAGCCGCCGCCGCCGCCGCTGCCGCCTCCGCCGCCGCCGCCGTCGTCGTCGTCGTCGTCCCCCTTGCCGTCGCCGTCGCGGTCGCCGTCGCCGTCATTGTTGCCGTCATCGTCGTCGTCGTCGTCGTCGTCGTCGTCGGCGTCGTCGTCTGCGTCAATCAACAAGACCATTTAGCAACGGTCGGAGGACCCCTCCCCGGATCTAGTCTAGCCAGCTAGATGCCGAGCCGCGCCCACCCGTGGCCACGCGAACCACCTCCAGAAAGATCCCAAAACCTCCGACATGAAGACGTCGTCGTCGCCGCCGCCGCCCCAGCGGCACGCCAGCACGAATCCACCGTGCGATTTGGCGCTCCCCGGTGCCAGTGCCAGGGAAACACCGACCCTGGGATCCTCGGGTTCGACTTGCAGTGGGCGATGCCCGGCACCGCGGCATAGATCTCCTCCGCGACGACGGCAGCAACGACGACCACGACGACGACCAACGATCATGACGGCGACCACGACGACGACGATGGAGACGGCGACGACGACGACCACCACAACGGCCAACGACCACGACGACGGCAGAAAAGACGACGAGGAGGGTCGATCATCGAAGATGGAACTATCATACGTTTTCAAGTTTTCTCCTGCCTCTGCAGGTGCCAGGACTCCACCCGAGGGATCTTCCGCGGATCTCCAGAGACCGCCTTGAGGACCCCTGGAGGACTCCAAGGAACCCCTGCGACTGCAGGACGACGACAGCGATGCCTTCGCTTCGAACATCGTTTGTTACGGACAGCGAAGACGACACGACACGACAGGGCAACGGCAACACCGATGGTGTTGTGGATGCTGTCCGCGGATCAAGGAGCAGGGCGATGTTCGACGCCTTCGCTCCGCTTCGACGTCCACGTCCACGTGTCTGGAGGTCCCCGTCGCCACGGCAGGACGCGGCTCGCAACACAGCTGGCCAGGACGAACCCCAGGAGGGGTACAGGGACCGATCTCGAGCGGACGTTGGTCGGACAACGACGACGCAGACGACAATCGAGGTCTTTGGAGGTGTGCTTGCTCTTGTCTGCTCCTAGACGACGGCAGCGCAGCCAGCGACGATGACGACTGCGGCGGCGGTAATAATGCTGAGACCTGACGCTACGAAGGAGCGCAACATCGTGAGAGAACCCGACCGCCGCCGTCGCCGAGGAGGTGGAGGAGGAGGAGGAGGAGGAGAAGGAGGAGAGGGGGAAGAATTGTCCCGGAAAGGGCACTGGCCCAGGGTTTTGCTCTTGGTCGGTAAGCCTAGTGCTGGGCATCAACTTGCGCAAGGCCAACGAATGGAGGCCCCTTGCTGGAAACACGTGTTTTCACGTGTCCAGGCCACCCACAAGGATATCTAACATGGTTGCCCCGAGCTGAAGCCATGTGTGTTCACGTTTGTTCCGCCCTGGGGCGGAACAGACCCACGTGCTTCCACGCTTGTCCCGCTCTGGGGCGCAAGGGACCCACGTGCTTTCACGAATGTTCTTCTTCCACTCTGGCGCGAAAAAGACCCACGTGTTTTCACGCATGTTCCGCTTCTGCGCGAAAAGGACCCACGTGCTTTCATGCTTGTTCCGCTGTGGCGCGCAAGGGACCCACGTGCTTTCACGCTTGTTCCGCTCTGGCGCGAAAGGGACCCATGTGCTTTCACGCTTCTTCCGCACTGACCCGAAAAAGGACCCATGTGTTTTCACGCTTGTTCCGCTCGGGGGCGAACATTTTTTTCAGCGCTTGTTCCGCTCTCGGGCGAAACGGACCCGCGTGTTTTCACGTTTCTTCCGGTCTGGCACGACGAAGGCCCACGTGTTTTCAGGCTTGTTCCGCTCTGGCGCGAAAGGGACCCATGTGCTTTCACGCTTCTTCCGCACTGACCCGAAAAAAGGACCCACGTGTTTTCATGCTTGTTCCGCTCGGGGGCGAACATTTTTTTCAGCGCTTGTTCCGCTCTCGGGCGAAACGGACCCGCGTGTTTTCACACTTCTTCCAGTCTGGCACGAAGAAGGCCCACGTGTTTTCAGGCTTGTTCCGCTCTGGCGCGAAAGGGACCCATGTGCTTTCACGCTTCTTCCGCACTGACCCGAAAAAAGGACCCACGTGTTTTCACGCTTGTTCCGCTCGGGGCGAACAGTTTTTTCAGCGCTTGTTCCGCTCTCCTGCGAAAAGGACCCGCGTGTTTTCACGTTTCTTCCGGTCTGGCACGAAGAAGGCCCACGTGTTTTCAGGCTTGTTCCGCTCTGGCGCGAAAGGGACCCAAAGAGTTCCCGCCTGTTCCGCTCTGGCGCGAGAGGAACCCACGTTTTGGGGACACACATGCGTTCACGCTTGTTCCGCTCCGGGGCGACAGGGACTAATGTGTTTTCACGTGTTCGGGCCCAATAGGGATATCGAACATGCGGTCGTCTGGCCCTCAAGAGGTGGGGGGGGGTCACAAGAGCCAGAAACAATTAACGATTCGGCATCAGATGTGTTATCATTTGCCACTTTTCGTCCCTTGGGCCCTGGGCAGGCCTCCCAGGGAAGCCTCCTGCGGTGACAAAAACCTGTATTTTCACGCTTGTTCCGCTCTGGGGCGAAAAGCACTTACGTGTTTTCACGCTTGTTCCGCTCTGGGGCGCAACTGACCCACGTGTTTTCACGCTTGTTTTGCTCTGAGACGACAAGGACCCACATGTTTTCACGCTTGCTCCGCTCTGGGGAGCAACTGACCCACTTGTTTTCACGCTTGTTCCGCTCTCGGGCGAAAGCGACCCACGTGCTTTCAAGCTTCTTCCGGTCTGACGCGAAAGGGACCCACATGTTCTTAGGCTTGATCCGCTCTGGGGCGACAGGGACCCACGCATTTTTCCACGCGACAAGGACCCGCGTATTTTCACGCCTGTTCCGTCCGGGGGCGCTTTCGCGCCCGCTCCGCTCTGGGTCGACAGGGACCCTGCTGCTCTCACGCTTGCTCCAGGTCGGCCAAGGCGACTTCTAACATGAGGACGTGCCGAGGATGTCTCGAGCGAAACGCGCTCGTTCGGCAGGGTTTCTTGAGGACGTCTCGTGCGGGTGCCTCGTCTGCAGCGAAAGCCTCCCTCTGCAGGATGTGCTGAGAGGGTGCCTCTCGCGAAGCACGCTGGTTTTGCACTGCTTGCGGAGGTGTCCTGCGGGGGCCTTGTCGCCGTCTGGGTGCGTTTTGTTTCGCTTCGGATTCGCCCCCCGATCGGTTCGTCCCACTTCGGCACTGGATCGAATCTTGAGTTCGGGCTGGTGGAACGCCCCTCTCGATGCGTTTCGCGTCGGTTCGGAGTCGCCCCCTCTTGTCTCGTGACGTTGCGGAACTGAATCATATCTTGAGCTCGAGCTCGAGCTGGTCGAGCGCCACGCGCGGTTCGACTGCAAGCAGATCGGGTTATGCGTTCAGGTATCTCGAGCTGAAGATCCAGATGAATTCGGTCAGGATTCTGATGCCAATGACGACCTGATCCACAATGCAATAGAGCATAGCACAGGTCAGTGCGGCATGCGCATTTTAATTAATCGCATCACACCGCAGCACAGCCCCTGGCACGGTACATCACCATCGTTGTCTTGAGCATTGCAGGTGCCCGACGCCCCAGTTTGGTGTCTTGAAACGTCTCCATGCTTTATTTGTCTATATATCCCTTTCTGGGTTCATGGGTCGATTCTGCTTGGCACTGGGGGTCGAGAAGGAGGAGGAGGAGGAGGAGGAGGCGGAGGAGGAGGAGGAGAAGGAGGGGGCGGGGGATGAGGACGAGCAGGACGAAGAGGAGGAGGAGGAGGAGGAGTAGTAGGAGGAGGAGGAGGAGGACGAGGAGGAGGAGGAGGAGGAGGAGGAGGAGGAGGAGGAGGAGCCCGGGGCCCATCCTTCTGCGGCATTGCTCGACCTGGGTCGTCGATCCGCGGGGGCCCCGCGGCCGGGCGAGCAGCACGCCCCAGCGCGGAGCAGAGCGGCGAGGCCCGGATCTCACCGAGCGGCGGCAGCGAGGCACCGCCGGGAGGTGGCCACCTCCACCCGCGGCCGCTGCGGCCCTGCCCCGGGGCCACTGCCAGGGAGCGGAGGGCGCGGGCAGCCCCCGCCTTCGGAGGCCACGGCTGGGAGGTCCTCGTCGGAAGGGCCAGGGAGGACTGAGCCACACGGGGGGGCTGCTGCGCCGGAGGGGGCCTCGGACCAAGCGGGACGAGGCCAGGTTGAGCTGGATTATAATCAGGATGGAGCCGGATTGAGCAGGACTGAGTCGGATGAGGCCGGTTCTCGGGCCAGGGCAAAATCTGAGTTCGACCGCCCAGGAGTGGCATCCGAACCCCCCCCCCTCTCTCCGGGGCGCGCAGCTGCTCCACGTGACCGACGAGGACAGGCAAGGGCACCCTCCCCCCCCCCCCAGCGGCGCACCGCTTTTCGGCGAGAGCCTCCTCTGGGCAAAGGGGGGGGGGGGCGGGGAGCCCAAAGAGAAGGCTCGCGGCCAAAACGGGGGGGGGGGCGCTCTCCGAGCCCGGGAGCCACGCCTCCCCAGGGGAGCGGCGACAGGCCCGCCCCCCCTCCTCCTCGAGGGGGCCCTCGAGATCCCGAGGCGCGGCTCCGAGGCTGTGGTCGCGGATCTGTTTAGGTCGGGCGTGTTACAGGCGGATTTGAAACGAAAGAGAAAGCATCACCGAACAACTGTCAAAGAATGATCAAACATACTCAAACAATAATCCCGCTTCCTTTTTTGGGGTTTGAACGACTTTTGGATCTGCCTCCTGTAGAGGGACGTGCCCGACTTGAGGATCTGTTCTGGCGGCGGCAGTGGCGGCGGGCGGGCGGCAGCTCTCCTCCTCGCTCGTCGCGGAGTCCGAGGCGGCGGCCTCGGGGCCCGTGGCCGCCGAGCTCGCCAGGGGGCCGCGCGTGACGCCCATTGTGGTGGGCCTGCTTTCCACCACCGCTTCCAGGAGTTGGAGGGAGAGGGGGTCCTCCTCCTCCTCCTCCTCCTCCTCCTCCTCCTCCTCCTCCTCCTCCTCCTCCTCCTCCTCCTCTTCGCCCTCTTCGTCCTCTTCGTCCTCTTCGTCCTCTTCGTCCTCTTCGTCCTCTTCGTCGTCGTCCTCCTCCTCCTCCTCCTGCTCCTCCTCCTCCTCCTCCTCCTCCTCCTCCTCCTCCTCCTTGCCCCCTCCAAATCATGGTGGCGGTGGTGGTGGAAAACAGGCCCATCAATTGGACTGGCGCTGGATTCTGAGGCGCCTTCGAGAGCCGGAACAGCTGCGGCTGGGCTCCCGGCCTGGCAGGGCCGGGTCAGGCGAGGGGGTGGCGAATCGGGGCTCTTTCGGCGGATCAGCTCGCGGGGCCGTCTCCGGGGCGCCCGAGGGGCTCTCCTGGACTCCACTCGGGGCGTCTCTCGGGGCTCCTTGGTGCCTTCCCGTTGCAGTCGCAGACCCTCCTGGAGCCCTCTTGGGGCCCTTGCGAACCTCCAGGTGCCCTCTTGGGGCCCTGAGCCGCTCTGGCGCCTCCCGGCGTCGGGGAGTCCACTGCATCGGATCCTGGCCCTTGGAGCGCAGACGTAGCGTAATCTACGAGGAGCCTGTCCGTGAGGGCACGGACGCAACATGATTTACAAGGGATCCTCGCCCTGGGATTGCGGGCGCAACGTAATCTATAATCTTCGGGGATGACTGCCCGGACACGGCACTTTCTTCCCTGAAAGGGCGCCGGCCCAGGGTTCTTAAAAAGTTCGTTACCCCCCGGCCTCGACTTGCGTAGGGTCGGCGAGTTCATTTTGCGATGACTAGCGAGGTCGCGTAGGGCCAGCGAGTTAAACAGCTGAGCATGTCCCTAGCGAAACCCTGGTCTTTTTAAAATTCAAATCTATAAGGCACATTTTCGTTTGTTGCGGATGTCTCGAGCGAAACGCTTATTGTGCAGAATTTGTCAAGGATGTCTTGAGCGACACCTTCTGTTGCTATATATTGTTCCTCCCCTGGGGACCAGAATTCAACGGATGTCTCGGGTGAAATTCGTATTTTCACGTGCCCAGGTCTTGAAGATGTCCCAAGCGAAACGCGTGGTTTCAGGCGTCCAGGTTGCCCAGGCAGATGTCTAGCATGAGGACTAGTTGAGGATGTCTCGAGCGAGGCGCTTGTTTTCACGTGTCCGGGTCACCCAAGCAGATGTCTAACATAAGGATGTGCTGAGGATGTATCAGGCGAGACGCTTGTTTTCACTTGTTCAGGTCGCCCAGGCGGATGTCTAACATGAGGAGTTATTGAGGATATCTCGAACGAAACGCTTGCCGCAATAGAGTTCATCGCAGTCCAACCCCGCCCGTCCGTGTGGCGTCCTCTGGCGCGCAGGCGCGTCCCCTGGCGCGCCCCCTGGCGCGTCCCTTGCGATGTTCTGGCGTGACATGCCCTGGCACGTCTAGCACGCCACTCTGCGTGGCACGTTCCCTGGCTCGTCTTCTGTCGCGTTTCCTGGCTCGTCCCCAAGCGTTTCCCCTGCCCGTTCCGTGGCGCGCCCCCTGCAACGTCCCTTGACATGACGTCCTCTGGCCGCCCCATGGCACGCGCCTTGGCACGTCCCGTGGCAGGTCCCTGACACGTTCAAGGCAAGTCCCCTGATACGTCTCCTGGCACGCCCCCTGGCGCATTCCTGTTGCGCCCCTGGCACATCCTGTGGCGCGTCCGTGAGGCTGTGCCCCGTGTCGCAGTTCAGCAAAACACCGCACAACACAACCCTTCGCACGGTACATCAAGATCTATAATTACACTCATTGAATTTGCCCTTCGCCCGATCAAGTGTCTTGAAAACGCGGCCATGTCTTACATTTCTATGTGCCTTTTTCTGGGTTCGTGGGTCAGGCATGCCAGTGTTTTGGGCCTCCAGGAGCCCTTACTGGGCCTCAGGACCGTCGCAAGACGACTCGGGATGAAACGCCGATCCCGGGAAATGCGTCGAGACCTCTAGGGGTCGACCTCATGAAACAAAAGGCATGCTGTCGTGGGCCTGGGTCTGAGCCCGACTTCCCGCAGAGCCTTTGGGGGCAGTCCTGCCAGGCCTGCCCGCAGGCCTGGAACGCTGCACTGCTCCCCCGGACCAGTGCTCGCCCCTGGCCATCGCTCGGACGTCCATTCCCTGTGCTTTTTGCCGGTTTCGTGCGCGGCTTCTTCGCCGAATCATCAAGGATGCTCCTCGATGGTCCTCGCCGAAGGAAAAATGCACACGTCCGAGCGATGCCGAGGCCCCCGTGGGCTCCCGCTGCGCTTGCCCGAGCTGCGCGGGGGCTCGCCGAGGCGTCGCCCGTCGGGCGGCCGTGGGCGCCCCTCGGTGCGCGCGCCCCTGCGCGCTGGCCGGACGTGCCGAGGTGTCTCGCGCGGTGGGCGGCCCCGTGGGCGCCTCGCGCTGCCTGCGCTGCGTCAACGCCTCCTCCTCCTCCTCCTCCTCCTCCTCCTCCTCCTCCTCCTCCTCCCCTCCTCCTCCTCCTCTCCCCTCCTCCTCCTCCTCCTCCACCTCCTCCTCCTCCTCCTCTCCTCCTCCTCCTCCTCCTCCTCCTCCTCCTCCCCTTCCTCCTCCTCCTCCTCCTCCACCTCCTCCTCCTCCGCCTCCTCCGCCTCCTCCTGCTGCTCCTCCTCCTCCCAACGCTTGCGCACAGCTGCGCACCTCAACGCTTGCGCCTCAACGCTTGCACCGCAGAGCCTGCACCACACGCTGTGCTGCTCACGGCGGACTTGGTCGCAGCAGGCCTGGAGCCGTCCTGGCACCGCATGGTCGCCGTCACGCAGCTCACACCACAGAGCCTGCACCACACGTCGCTTGCACCACACATTGCTTGCACCAGATGGCTTTCACCACATAGCTTGCGCCCGCACATCGATTGCACCACACAACTTGCACCGCGCACATCTTGCACCACATGGCGTGCACCTTGCACACCGAAGAGCGCAAGAGATCGCTGTTCGGGGTCCACGCTGGCAATCGCTAGCACTCGGGGAAGTCATCGTTGGAGACCCTCCTCCTTGCTCTCCACGCTCTTGCGAATACTGCCTCGGAATTCCCGCAGGGCCGCTGACTAGGACATGTTCTCGCGGCGGACGGCAAAGCGGTCCGTGGAACCATGACTAGAAATCAGAAAAGCCACCCCCATAATAACCGCCCCGACGCGCGAAGTCGTTTAGTAAACGCGCCCCATAGAAGGAATTGAACAGGGCAAGGCTGCTTCGTAAACGCCCAGGGCCGCTCAGTAAACGCCAATTTTCTGGTCCGAGTGATTTTTCCTCCCATGCATGACCCGAGCGGGCCCGTCAGAGTGCGCGAGCACTTGCGAACGCCTGCAAGCTGCGGAGGGTCGACGCTGAACTTGCGTCGGGCGTGCCCCCCTACGGGCGGATTTTGGACGAAGAACAACAGCACACCCGACACATCTTCGAACGGAGCCCACAATGGTAGAGCAGTCGTCCCCAGACTGTTCCTTGCTTTCCCATGTTTGCTTCTTACTCCTGTGGAGGGACAGGCCCGACTCCGCGCCGGCCTCCCTCCGCAGACCATGCCCGCCTGCGAGCGCGAGCGCTTGGGCGTTGCTTAATGGGGGGGTCACAAATGGGGGGGTCAGAAACGGTCCCCTTTCGTGCCCCTTTCGGGCCCCTCCGAGGCCCCAGGGGGCTCGTTTGGGTACCGTTTGGGTACCTTTTCGGACCACCCTCGCCACCCCCCCATTTATGACCCCCCTATTACGCAACGCCCAAAGCGTCAGAGGGGGCGGAGCCGGCGGCGCCCTGCCAGGGCTGCGGGGAGCGGGGGGGGGCCCGGGGCCGGCCCCCCGCAGAGCTGCGCGGGGCGCCGCCCTTCTGCGCTTTTGAGCCCCGAGGTCCGATGCTGTGTGCAGGAGCGGCCATCTCGGGAGGCACGGCAAGCGGCACCCGAGACCCTATCTTGAGGACGGGCCTGTCCTACCACAGGGGGATTTTGGACGAAGCATGGAAAATAGAAGCACAAAGAAATGCCCCACAATGGTGGGAAAGTGCTGCACGAATCCTCCCCAGACTATTTTTTTGTGTGTCCATTTCTGAATCTTCCTCCTGCAGAGGGACAGGCCCGACTGAAGCCCATCTTTCTGCGGCATCGCTCGAGCCCGGCTGAGGGCGCAGAGGGCGGGACATCGTGGACAGGGCTGGGGGCTGGGGGCGGCAGGGCGGGGCGGATGGGAGGAAGGCTGCGAGAAGGACAGCGCAGGGACGAGAGGGGGCGAGAGGAGGAAGACAGGAAAGGAGGCCGCCCGATCGATCCCGAGGGGACCTGCGAGGTCCCAGGGGGCCCGGATCTTGGCGATGACGGCCTCGTGTGGAGAGGAAGGCGCGGCGGCCAGCCCGCAGGGTAGGACGGCTTTTCCGCCACGGGTGTCGGCCGACTTGGCGCCCTTGTCCCCAGACCTGCTCACGAAGTCCTCGTGGCTCATCTGCCCAGCGCTCGCGGTCGGCTCGCTGGGGCCTGGCGCGGCCGCGGGAGCCCCTCTCTGTGTGGACCACCCGCGGAGCCACCAGGGATGTCGCCGAACGCCCTCCTGGCCCCCCGGATGGGCCTCCGAGAAGCCTTCGCCCTCCCTCGTTGTTCCTTGTTGCGGATAATACAACAGACACGTAAAGAAACCGTTGGGGCGTCTTGGGAGGCGCTCGTTGTCTTTTCCTGCCGAGTGTTGCTGGGATCTTGGGTGTCATGTTCGGCCTCCGGATGCCTCTTGATCCCACTTCACCTCGTCCTCCTTCCTCTTTCACCTTCTTGCTCGTCCCCTCTGCCTTTCCCTCCTACCCGAACTGACTAGATTCCTCTCCTTTTCGTCCTCCTCCTCCCGCCCCTCCCGCTCCTCCTCCCGCTCCTCCTCCTCCTCCTCCTCCTCCTCCTCCTCCTCCTCCTCCTCCTCCTCCCGCTCCTCCTCCCGCTCCTCC